GAAATTTTGATGCTTCAGATATCGCCTTCCAAGATATTGGTTCAGTCAATATAACAACAATTTATAGACCAAAATGTGATAAAGTGATTTACTGGGCAATGTTACCTAACATTACATATAATATTCATACCATATTTTTACAAAAGCTGTTCAGTGGTTACTTTAAATCATAAATTGTTACAAAACACACTAGGATCATTGTTTACGATACGCTGTTTGTGTTTAGAAATAAATATGTTCTCAGTCTCTGTTCTGGTATCATTTGATGCTTAAAATCAAAGTGTTGATATTGGTACTGAAACAGAAAAAGCTGGATCGGTGAATCTCTAAAAACATCCAAGTCAAAATGAAGGCAGTGACATATAGAACCCCAAAGCATAATTACTCCGATAGCACAAATGAGAGCAGTACAACATAATGTGACAATGAGAGTGTGTGCTACAGAGCTGGTTAGCAAACAAATTACACACTGGCACCCTGGCAGAGGTTAGTACACTGTGCAAAAATGCCAGATGCACATAATAAAGCCATCTGCACCCATAAAGTCAGAGGCCTGCCTGGCATCAGCAAACGCAGGGCTACATTAGGGGTACTCCAGCTCCGTAACCCCAAACACAAATGGGACAAGTGGCATAAAAGGTCCAGAGAAGGGCAGATTAAATTACTATCTGGAGATGATGGTGACATGATTCCCTGGAGTTATTCAAGCCTTACTGCAAACAATTGACCTCATCGTAGCAGGAGCAGGCATGTACAGAGAGCACACCCAGGCATTGCTACACATGAGGAATTCTTTACCTGCTCGTGTCAACACTCATTCTTTGTACAAAAAAGTGTTAAGAGTCCATGTTCAGGGCACACAAGAAAACAGAACTCAAGTCCAAATGAGAAGTCTCAATGGGAGAAAATGATGCCAAATCCCCCCAGTGAAGTCTGATACTGTAAAACTTAGCGGAGCAATGCATATCTTACACCAAACATATAATAGTGTTGCTCAAACATACATTTAGTGTGGCTCCAGCCCAGGTTACAACATAGAAAACAAAGCAACAAGTGTAACTATAGTCTACATTTGGGCAGTAGGTCTACAACTAAAACAAAACATATAGCTCAGTCTCATCCAGAGACTGCAAAGAAATTGAATGGTTGGAAATTTTCAGACAACTCAGATACGCACACTACAACCATTAACCCATTTTGTTCTAACAGAAGAAGAAAAGTAACATTTCAAGAGTAATGAACAAATCTGGACCACAAATATGTTCTGAGTCAGAATAGTAAGTTTAAAATGGGCGTGCCTCTGGGGAGCCCACTTCATTCACATGGAGACAAAGTATATCATGTTTCTCAGACCCTGTGATAGGTCGGGGGCCTGACAAGCGTCGTTCACTGTAAAAGACACCACACACCGGAATGTCTTTGTGTAAGTAAATGTTTAACATGGCAGCTATCTGGGGTCCAACTTCTACAGTGGAAACCTGTGGCAAATACAAACTAAAGTGTTAATGATTAGAGTTCAGGCCTCTAGTGTAATGTGATATAAACCGTGATATTGTAAGTATTGAAGAAGTACTTCTTTCAGTGAGTGTCCACAAATACAGACAAAGAAGGACTTTGATAATATTAACATGATCAAAAATCTGGGTGAGCACGAAGCAAGGCCAAATACTAAAATGCTCTAGTTTTTCTAATACCAGGAGAGCTGTTCCTCAAATAAGCTGAAAGTGGCCCACATAGTAGACTCTCTAGAGAAAAAGAGGCACTGTGGTGAGTGCAGTAGCATTGAACCCCAGAGAGAATAAAGGCACCCATATGGGAAAAAAAAGGAAAAAAAAAAAAGAATTTACCACTGTCTTTGTAGTAAATCTTTATATAAGGTTAATATGTGTCATGTGTGGTTTACTCCTGAAAGTTTCCCCTTTTACGTTTTTCTCATACAACTATATTATGAAAAACTAGTAAAGATAAAGTGAACATTTTGCATGACATTTACAGGTAATGTGCATGATAAACTACATTTTCTTTGTATGTTCCATGTAATGTTTGTATTCTTTAATTATATGTTGCAGTTAAAAAAACAAAAAACAAAATCTGAGTCAAAAGGGAGATTTGAACCCAGGTCACCCACGTAAAAGTCCAGTGACTCACCTGTTAATCTACCCAGTTATTACAGGTGATGACAACTACAGCCCGACCGATATGGATTTTGCTGTGGCCGATATGAAACCGATATAATGGGGGTTGGAGCTGCCGATAGCCGATATGATCGCCAATATATTTAGTGATGTAAAAATTCACTGTAAATGTTGAATTGTTTAAAAAACTTTGGTTTCGTTCCGGTGGATTTTAAATTGGGTTTATTTAGGCAACATTTATTGTTATTCTGCCTCTTTACGTCATATTTACAGACAGTAGGTTGGCTTAATGGTATTTTTGCATCACATTCTAGACACTAGTGATGGGTATTCCAGTTCTTTTTAGAGAACCGGCTCTTTTGGCTTGGCTCACTAAAGCTGCTGGTTCTTTTGACTCCCAAGCGGCTCTTCAGATTGTTTTGTTGCAAGCAGGACTAAAGCACGTCTAAAGCAGGACTGAATCAGGACTGAGCCAGGTCTAAGCCAGGACTGAAAAAGGACTAAACCAGGACTAAAACAGATCTAGACCACGTGTAAAACAGGACTAAACCAAAACTGAACCAGGACTGAGTGTCGGGACTCGGTTTCCATTTCGTGCCCTAGATTAGTCCTGCTTTATTTATTTTGTGCTAAACTACAGCGAAATATGCACTTTTTTTTTTATCCCATTACATCACAAGATGGAGCATTTTGAGATTTTGAGATGTAGACAGACTAATAATTAAGTATTATTCAAATATGTGTGAATGAAATAAAACTAAATTTAATCAAAAACAGGTATATTTTTGATGAAGTAACAACATTATAAGATGTCTTAAAACTCACAAGAGTCAAAGGTCCTATAGTATGCAAAAGAGTAAATTCAAGGTTACAGGTGTCATTCAGACACCTGTAACCTTGCTATGGATCATGTCGTCCATGATCCATAGCAAAAGCTAAAAATTAAAGGTGCACAATGTAACTTTTATGAGGAATCCACCATCTGCCAAATTCTATTCAAGTTACCCAAATTTAAGTTTACTAACCCAGGTAATAACTAAACACCCGGGGCCAATGTTGCATGTCTGAATCTTCCCATCTGCAACAGTGAGACAGAACCCCATTACACTACTGTCAGCACTCCCACTCTCTGCCAAACAAGTCCACGAAAATGCTACAGCAAGTTTGAGACAACGCATGAAGTTTGCCTACTATGAGGCTCAAATAACCAGTTACTCATTGTTTTAAAGGTGTGTGAGAGAGTGACTAACAATGTGTCTAATATAAATTGCTATTCATTTAATTTTATTTCTAGAGGAAGTGTAGAACTGTGAGAACTAGACAGTGACAACATAATGACTCACTTCCGGTCCATATCTTTAGGAAGTCAAATACATCACTGTCTCCATGTTTGTACTCACACAGTTTTCTTGAATGGTGGTAATGGTTTTCAGCAAATTGCAACACAGAGATGACCTGAGAGTGGCACATAACTGAACTTTGGCCAAAAGAAGTGTATTCCATCTTGGTTTAAATAGGATGTTATAATAACCATTTAGAAATCATTAAAAATAATTAGAAAACAGACGTATAGGCGTATATAAAAATGTATGTGTAATATATGGGCTTTTGGGACAATAACATTAAGTGCATTTAGCTACTAGCATTATTATTTTATGGTTATTATACTGCTGCATCATTACAGAAGAATGACAGAAAGTTGTATTTACTTCAGTCCAAAACAAAGAAAGGCTATTTATTCACACTAAAATTATCAAGCATTTATTTTTTATTTGTAGAGGCAATGGATTAAAAAATGCATTGTATATATTAGTTAGTATTTAAATTGCATTTTTTTAAACAATGGGTGTGTTAGTATTTCAGCTTGGAAACAATAGTAATATATTCTACTGACTGTGAGATATTTAAACAGTTTTGACTTGCTCCAAGGCTGAGCTACAACAGTGCTCCACAGTGATGTATACACAGACTTTGGTAATAAAAAAAAGTTTAACATTAGTGGGTCAAAATATTTCTGGCCATACTGAGAGAGCCTTGGAGGATAAAGCTGCAGTAGTCCAGCTTTGTTAGAGTGAAAGCGAGTAAGGTAAACACTCTGGGATCTACTGTATTTCAGCTGTACCCCCTGTGTAGTGCAACATGCCAGAAAGCCCCAAAGCCAGCACCATCATAGAATCCACTATAAGCCAATACTCCACTACAGCCAAATCCCTTAACAGAGGAATATTGCAGCTCGATTTCCCAACTTGAGCGAGTCTTAGAAACATTTGGCAATTGTGTTTGGGAAATGTGGTGGTTTGTGTATCAATTCAGCCTGAGCCCTAGATCTGCTGCATTTGTACAAAGCCCTGGTTTGGGGCATTGCTGAGAAGTGATGGCCCATTGTTCTATGTGTACAGTGCTGCCTCAGAGGGGAACATTTGGCATTGCCCTAAAACATGTCTTTCTAAAGTGGGTTTATGGTCCTGAGGTGTTTCCTTTTGGCAGAAGTAGAAGTTGTCCTGGAAACATCCAAATGACCTCTGTTCTTTTGAGGATGTGGGAAGTAAACGTTTGCTTACACAAATGGGGTTAGATCATCAGAGAGCCCTGCCAGTCCACTTTAAACTGTGGCACAGACAGGCTGCTGCTGCCATGAGGCCTCTTCAGGAGCAGGGACATCTTTTGGCCATAAATCATGGAGACGAGCAGATGGTGAAAACTCACACTTCACCCACATGGGCAGTACATGCAGACATTCCAGTCGTATGAATAAACAGGTGAAACTGGTCTAAAAGGACACTGTTTGCTTAATTCTCTGGGAATCCATACCCCTAAGGCTAATGTCCTTGGTTAAAAAGGACCCTGAAAAATTTGCTGACATGACCTGAATTGATAGTGCCATTTATATATTAGGAAAATAAACTCCTGGCTCTTTGGTGTGAACCATGGCTCTCAGTGTGTGTTTGGGGCTTTAGTGGTCTGACTGGGGATCCACAGGGTGGAGAAGGGCAGCACCACTAAAAGCTGTTCAGGCTTTCACTAATGTCAGACTGTGCTGCTGCCTCTCACAGACTAAAGGGGGAGAGAGTGGGTGTATGGGTGTGCCTCACACTCTCACCACTTCCCTCATGCAGTACTGCCTCATAGTCATGGACACTGGGCTGAGGCTCATCTTCACTTCACTTTTCTATACGTCATAGAAAAGTGAAGTCAAGGGCATTTCCTCTCCGTAATAATAAACCAGGCCCTCCTTGCATTTGGGAGGCCTCAGCTGAAACAGCAGATCTAACGGGGCCAAAACAAAGGCATGGACATTAATGCAAAGTCACAATATACAGACCACAATATGAAATTTGAATAAAGTAAAAAACAATATCCCCATGACGATGAAATATTAACAAAACAATAAAATACAATCCACAAAAATTATGAGATTTTATTGCGTTTAGTAAAGGTTAAAGTAAAGGTTGGAGATGGTCACTCCTGATATAAAAGGACATATCTCTTGCACTGTACTCGAGTACTACAGGATATTCACTGATAATAAGATGTCAACATGTTAGCTGAGAGAATTTTTGCAGTACATATTTAGATAACACATTTGAGTGATTTGGTCTTTTGGCACAGGTTTAACTGGGACTTTCACACAGGGGCATTCATTGAAATGCAGTGGACTAGTCCCACTGAAGTATAAACAGGCTGCCAACACCAAAACAGAGGAAGGTTCAACTCTCTCAAAGAGGATCATTAGCATTAACCACAGGCTCATGACAAAAATAAAGTGTGTGTATGTAACAGATTACACAGTGATACCAATGATACAACTGATAAGCATCTTCTTCAGTCTTAAGCAAGAGATCCTGGTTTAGGGTTTGTGGGTTAATAGACTTGAGCATACACTCTCATACTGACAAATTAAAGAGGTGGGCTAAGATGTTTAGTAGTCTGCTCCTGTGACATGAATTCCAAACAGCTTATAAGGCGACTTAGTGGATGCTCAGGCACAGCAGCAGCACACAGGCAGATTCAACAGGAGCATCAGTCTAGCCTTCCACCTATAGCATCAGTAATACCCACAAACGTATCCATGTTCTCAATGGTTACGTATCGAAGTTTCTATTTTCTTTTCAACAATCGTATTAAAATATAGGTGACTATAAGTTTGTTTCAAAGAATACAAGCATGCATAAAGTGACCCACAACACCTTCACAAACCCGAACAAACAAGATCCACAAATTATGTTTTGAAAGAGGTTGTTAAACTTGACAAAACTTGACAGTAAATGTAAATGCCTTCCTCTAAAAATACATTTTCTAATTACAGCACTAAAACATGGAACAGTTTTGATTTGCACTGAGACAAAAAACTAAAAGATGTAAAGAGTGTAAAGTGCTGAGAGTAAGAAGTTGTGAGGTTGTCTATGGTTCAGCCAAAAGACGATGGCTAATGTGAAGCAGATGGTGACACGAGGAGAGCAAAAGACTGAGAAAACATTCAATGTTCATTTCTACTCCAAACAGCAGCACAGATCAGCAAAGGACTGCAGCTTTGACCCAGTTACTTTGATCATTTTCAGAGCTCCCCCGACTGCTCCCTGGAGGCTCACTGTCCACAAGTGCACACTGCACAGTCCAATAAAACAGAGCCAAACTGAGACACATATTACAAGAAATCAGGAGATGAGGCAAGCTTTAAAACTATGAAATGATTCTATCAATTCATGTGTACATGAGCTGAAGAAATCCATATAATTTTGAGCTTGGATGTTAAATAAATTAATATTAAATAGAAAATAATGTAAGAGTAAGTTGTTTCAAATTATTAGATCACATTTAAAAACAGCAGGCCTAAAACTTTTAAGACTCTTCGGCATACATGGGACATGTCTATTATCCTACTGACCCATCTGCAGTAAAATCCTTTAGCTGATGTATTGATGCTGTTAACTGCTTTGACAAAAGTAGATAATGTGACCAACATACACAGTCAGCAGGTAGCCTCAATGCCCACGCCAAAGGACCGTCCATCCCCCTGAGAAAATGAGCCTGAGGACTTAACAGATGACCAGCAATAGCCATGTCCAAGTGACAAAACTTTATATTGAAACTAACAATAAACACGTTGTAGGTATAAATAAAAAATACACATAGCCTAGACTACTATATTAGAGCACAAGCTATTAAAGTTATTATTTGGCCCCACATGAAGTATTGGTTGTGTATTAAATTCGAGTTAAGAAGGCCTAGTTCGAAAAAGTAATCATAAATAGCTTTTAATATGAGAAGGTGCGCTCAGACGCACAAGTCTCTTCAGAATTTTTAATTAGAGCATCCCTCAAAACAAGCCCCGTGCGCCCAAATATGAGTTTGAAATAGTTCCAAAGAAATGGTTCCCAAATTAGATTGCAGCGGAGTAGACGATCACCAAAGAATCTGTCCCCCGTGGAGATGTGTTGACTTGTGTGAGGCGATAAGAAGCGGCGGACAATCAGAGAGGCTCTCCTTACCTGTGATGTGTCCAGGAAAACGCTCTTTCTGAACTTTCCTCGTCGTATCTCCATTTCAAGAGCCGAGCCGCGGGCAACGGTGGCTCTTGCTGTTTGATTTCGGCAAAACATCACGCTCGCTGCCAACTTCGAGGATAGTCTTGTTTTGAAGTGGGAACGCTGAATTTCAACAGAAGAGCGCGTTGGAAAGAAAAAATGAGCCAACCGCTGATCTAAAGTGGTAGGACAAAACACTAGAAAAGTCAAGGGATGAGGACTCCTTATAAAGGTCAAACACTCTTTTCTGATGAATCCATACCGACTGTACTCTCGAGCAACGCGTACTCACAGCTGACTTTACACTTTTGGGAACACTGCCCCTTGTGTGTCCACGCGTGGGTGACACAACGACATCTCATGTGGTGTCCCGCGTGCATCAGGAGACCCCTACTGGCGAGGCGCGGTTATACATCATCTCAACAGCAAAACAGTAACTACCAACCTCAAGGAACTTCTAGAGGTAATACAGTCTCAGATGAATCTGGGTAGACTTGTGAGTGCTTTAATCTGCATAAAGGACACACAGTCCACAAGTTGTTCTCATACTCCGAAGCTATATGGACAGGCCTCATGTGAAAGTCGAAAACCTCCAGAACTGAGCTGCAAAGGTAGTTTTCAGATCAGACAGTCTTTTAAGGTTTAAAACAACTGGATTTCAACAGTGAATCTTTGCAGTGAGAGTGACTCACGTGAGGCTCACTCAGCTCTCTGATTGGATAATCATGCTGAGAACAAAACACCGCATTATAACATAAATAAATAAATTCATCATGCTTGAGGTTTTTGCAATTAAGAATAAATAAGCATTATAAATAATACCAGTAAAAGCCATATTTCATTTGAACACATTTCTCTTGTATCTGAGGACACGGTAAGGTCATTTTCATGGAATGAAATAATATACATAGGCCTACGCTTCATTTCTTTTGTTAACCTTTCTACTAATCCTATATAAAACCCACAGACCCAAATCAAATTATTTTCTGTGTCACTTGAGACCTGTTATCCATGAAAACATAACAAAGAGACACATGCAGTGTTTCTTCAGTGTGGAAATGTTACAGAAAATGAATGTGTATTCAGACTACTTTTCTAATCTCATAGCTCTGAAACCATTTAGCCCACGATCTGTACATCTACTAATGGACAGGGAGCTTCTCCAAGGAGATTTACGATAAATCTCCAGCAGTTAAAGGTCATCTTCAGGTAAGTACAGATAAGCCACATTTATCAAATACATATTGAAGTGAAATTACTGGGAGAGTGCTCATTTCTGTTATGAGTCTGAGGAATCTCCTAAATGGCACCAGGCACTCACAGCCTGCTGAGCTGGAATCCCAGACAGGCAGACAGGAATCAAAGATCTTTCTCACAGAGATGAGGTCACCTCCAGGCCAGCTCAAGGTATGCTGGGAAGATGAAACAATACAACTGGTGGACACTGTTGACTTTAGGAATTCACATATTAGGCCATTAGGCTAACACAGCCATATCCACTTTACAATGATATGCATTACACTGTATAATATTATGATGGTTTCACCTCTGCTGTATGAATTTTTCATGTATTTATATATATATTTACAATAAAAATAATAAAATAAATATTAATAAATGGACATTACAATGTGGTAGTAGTCATTGCAGTACTTTTACTTCAGGTTTTAAGTCAATGAAGATAATAAATAATTAATAAGACAATATACTATAGTTAAACTACTGCATAAAGTTGGTTGGACATTTACATGACCTAAATAATTTCTTCTTATGGATCATGTATTCATCAAAACCAAATGTTGTTATTGTTTGTCTGTCTATGTACGTAACAAGCATTAATCTGAATAATGCTGTAGTTCAGAAACAGACAGGAAAAAGGCTAGGGCAAGTGAAGCACTAATCTCCCCTAAAGTCTCCCGTTTAAAAGTGTTTGTTGATGTTGTAGGCTTGAATAAATAGCTGAAGGCATTATAACTCAAGCGGCAATGTAATCTTGAGTTCTGGTGCCTTTTCCAATCTAGTGTGTGTGTGTGTGTGTGTGTGTGTGTGTGTGTGAGTGTGTGTGTGCGTGTGTGTGGGTGTGTGGGTGTGTGCGTGTGTGTGTGTTTTTAGAGGGGGGACTTATGTGAAATGCAAATTATGTTTACATACCTCATGCTGCTCTTGGTCATAGGGGGCAGACAGTCACAGGGAGGAGTGGTGCTAGGTCGGGCCCCCTTTTAACTTCCTGTGGGTTTGGGTGATGCACACTGAACCCTGTGGGCAGCTTAGAAGTTTTAGGGGAGAGAGGCGGTGGGCTTATGAACATGCAAGCTTGAGCGTGGCAGATTTGAAAAGCCCATCTGGGAGGGAAAGATAGGTCTGTGCTATCAGCCCTTGTTTGTACTGCGTTCTATTTGTAAATCCTATAAACTAAATTTCCCTGTTATCATGCTCTCCCTTTTCTCTCTGCGGCACATATACAAGCACAAAATACAGCAGAAGACAAAAGAGGCAAGAGGAGTAAAATGCAGTCCATACAGAACATAACAGAAAACTATAAAACCAAGATCATTTTGAGTAGTTGAATGAATGCTATGGAAAGCTATGGGGGATAGTCACATGACATTAGACATGGTAGAAAATCAGACATACCCCTAACCATTTTTCTTTTCATTCACAATTGTTTCTTTATGAAGTAGCCACCATCTTAACACTAGATAAGTGGGAGTAAAATCACAAGAGCTATACAGAAAATATGGGAAGTGTTTAGAGAGAATGAACACTGTTACAGACTCAGCAGAATGACTGTGGCCATTTCCTCTACAATTACATGTGGTTTTCTATGCTATATTTATACTAAAATTTGCAACCGGTCCCCCACTATATTGCTTTTTTATTATCAAACCTCAAACATTCCCCCACTATTCAAGAATTCTAAGTAAAGATTACAATTTATACCATGCAAAAAAATCACTACTGCACAAAGCTATGTACAGCTATTTTTGATCTCCTTATATTTAGCACTGTGATTGTGTAAATGGCATCCCTTCAGGTGCAAAGGACGAACCAGTTTAAAATTTTATTGTAAATGTGACAGTGTGTGATGCTGCAACAACTAGCAGACTGAAATACGCTCTTATCCGAGATGAGTAGAAAAACATGATGGATGTCCTCCTATACAGGGTGGTAGATGAGGAAACACCTCAGGGGAGAGGAACAGCTTAAATGGAGGCATAGTGTGGATTGTTGCTCTGAATAAACTATGTGGTGATAACTGGAGGGACTATAGCCCAAATAAGAGTAGAAATAAAAATGATGTTAGCAAGCCTAGAGCCAACCAGATACTATACGGATGTGGTTTAGCAGGAATTTTGTACAGGTATGCACGCTTGAAAATTCTTCATGACATCCCCCCAGTAGTATACTAGTCTGACTTCTGCTGGACAACACCAGCCATTGCAGCCATGTCTGTCTCATGTCAAAATGCTTATTTCAGTTCTGTCTATTGGGGCTGAAATGAATTAAAGATTGATTCAAAGTAGGGCTGCATTACTTATCCAGTTAATTAATCATTTGATAATACTGAAGTGAACCCCTTATTTTATGATTATACATATTTTTAACACTGATAACACTAAAAAGATTAATGCAAGGATTAAGTTAGGTGGAGTTTTGAGAGTGACCGGACATCCTTTTAACTTAGACTGTTTATTAATACTTCTCTCTCTCTATATATAGTAGTTTTTGTGTACTAATTTTGAGAGCTTTTTTCACACCCATTACGTGCCCCCTTTAAGTCGATTATTTGATTCACAAAAGTTTGGTCTATTGAGAATTTAGAGCTCTAATTAAAAAAAAAAAAAAAAAGGAAACACTATAGGCTTAGTGCGTTTTTATTAAGCTATTTACAAAGAATACAAAACTGTTTCTTCTTCAACAGTACTTAGTTCCTTATTACACCCAATTTACATGTACTCTATAAAAAAATTAACAGAAAGGCTCAGGCACAAAATTGATGCCACTGGTAAAAATTACTTTTTTATTTTATTTGTGATTCTGTTTTGTCCAGTTGGCAGCCTCTTTCCGTGCTTGTTTCAATCCCTAAATGAAAAACAGACATTTCAAAATCACAAAACAATGGATGATTTTATAATGAGATCTTTTTCTTTCTTTCAGCCGACATACCAAGTAGTACCCAGTGTGGTAGCCACTCATATACCAAGAGATGAGGACACTGCCCAAAGCCTCATCATCAACCATGTCAGGGCTCATTGGTGGAGGAGGTGGGATCATCTGAAAGAATGAAAAGTCCAATAATAACACATTATATACTACACGTTCCTTCAAATACACAAGCTACGGTAAGACATGACAGTCTTACTGGTGGGCCAAAAGCCATCATAGGAGGCCAGGGAGGAGAAGCATGTCCATGTCCACTTGATCGCCTATTTCCTGTCTGCAAGATAAAAGCTTTTTAATCTAATGGTGGAGAGATGCATATATTAAAAGAAAGATGCATAAATTAAAAACAAGTAGAAAGATGAAACACAAAATACAACTACACAAGCAGTCTATAATTTTACACAATTAACCTGTTTGAAAGTTGGCATTGGAGGTGGCCCGGGGGGAAATTCAGGAAAACCATGAAGACCATCTTTGTGCGTCTTGGACTTGTGTTTACTTTGTGACTGCAGTTTTGGTACATTTGGGGTTGCTGACCGATCACTTTCCTCTGTTGATGATTCAACCTCATTTCTAAATACAAAACAAATATTATGTACATCTTTTCACCTTCACATGTAATTTGATCAGTGACCAATATATTTACATTTATATTTACATTACCTTAGAATTTACTACTTCATCCCCCTCTGAAATATCGGAAACCAGGTCTTCAAGATTTTGTTCTTCTTCATTGCCATATTCTGTATATGTCACAATACAAGTGCCCCTTTTCTCATCTATGGAGGAGATGGAGGCTGCATACAATTGCCCATCTTCTGACCAGTAAGCACAGCATGAATCTCCAACCTGCCACTATGATGGTACAAAATAGTAATTTAATAAGAGAGCAAAACATTTCTATTGCTCAAATTAAGGGCACTTGGGGTCAAAATTTTGAGTATGTTTTCTTATTTACAAACCAATTTATCTGGTGGTGCATTGGTTCTTTTTCTACTTTGTTTCTTTTTATTATTCTTTCTTTTCTTTCCTGGGTGGTTCTTCTTGGAGGGTTGTGTTTCCTCTTCTCCCTTTTCTCCCTTTAGAGCAGTCTGATAGAAATGTAAATGTTATTGTAAATGTGTTGACATTGCACAAATGTGCGTTTGTACAGGGAATTGCTTACCTTAAATGATGCAACAGCCTTGTCATAAGCCTTTATCAATGCTGTATCATCCCAAATGTCCGAATCGTCACTCTAAAAGAGTAATATATGTTAACAAACAATAGCTACAATCGTAGTGACCCTTGTCTAATGTCAACAGTTCAACGGGTTGTAGGGTTAATCCGTATTTATAATATTTAACATTACAGGCTATATATTTATTAGCGCATTATTTTTGTTGCATGAAATGTATTAAAGATAGTATTCATGCGCAAAGACATGCATGTATCCTCTGCCCTTACAGCTTCACAAGTGGAGCTTCTTTGTTTTACAACCAAATACATAAAACACATTACATATGCATAATGTGAAACATGTGCCTTTTGGATCATTTCAAATCAAACTTTCATAGATTCTTGCTACTGAGCGTCTCATTTGGGTATTATTAGCATGATAGCAATATGGCCGTCTGAAAAGACATATTTTTATAAATTGTTGAAAAGATGGCACTAAATGGCGCTGTATTACTTACTTGTCCTGCTCCACGAGTAAACAACACATCTTTACATCCATTTGCCATTTTTAAGCTGCCATCTACAGCTAACAACAACAGCTACACAGGCGAAAAATGTGCGTCTGAAAAATGACGTCGGCAAGGCGTCGGTGACGTATTTATTTTGCGACGCTTTGGTTGACTAGGCAACCAGATAGCTTGTGCTCTCCTCAGTATCACAGAAAACATTATCCATCCAGATCTCTATATTTTTCCGGCTGATTTATTTTTTAAACATGATTGACCCAATCCTCAGCTCTTTGGGAGCAAAGCTTGTCGTCGCTTCATCCCACGACGAGAATTATCCACCAGAAAACATTATTGATGGGTGAGTACTGGACACTTTACTACCCGCGATGAGAACATGACAACAAGATTAACCAGCCGACTAGCTAGTTGTCTTCGTAACGAATATTTACCAAGCATAATATTGGCGTATGCGTTTTTTCCACTGTAGAAACACTAAAACGTTTTGGATGACCACAGGGATGTTTCCACAAGAGTTTATTATTCGTTTTGCTAATTCTACCCATCTCAATGCTGTGACAGTGGACAGCTACAATGGTGAGAAACCTTACAAGAAATTAATACAACAGCTTTTTGTGGCAGTTGTGAAGGCACTAGAAGCCTGTTTTGCCAGTGTTTATTTTTATATTAGTATATTATATTTATTATTGTTATATATTATATTCTTATAGTTTCCACCTCTTTCTAGTGAGGAATATTAAGATTGAAGTAAATGCCTCAGAAACTGCCAAAAACTTCGAGCTTGTCATAGAAAAGGGTAAATTATTTCTGTTCATTTAATTATACCACAAGATATGTAGGGTTGTTGTAATAATGCACAACGTTTTACCTCTCTTTGCAGAATTTCCTCCTACACAGGGTCATCTTCAGTCAAACGTTATCTCAGTGAGTCAAATTTTAATGTCTCATAAATAATGCACTTTGTTGTATTGTTTTCAATTTATGTATGTATTTTAAATATACCTTTTCCCATGTTGTTTTCAGCTAAATGGAACTAATGCAACACATCTACGGTTTATAATCAAATCAGGTTATGATCACTTTGTTTCTGTGCATAAAATCAGTGTTCAAACTTAATTATGTTTAATAAATACAGTGTATTTTTATTTTGTAAGATTTATTTATTACATTTATAGTGAACAGCTGTTTTCAAGGGAAAATATAATAACCACGTAATCATTATTTTCATCATTTCACTACCTTTCAGTTTGTAGGAAGGGATAGGTTTGGTCTATATTTTAGTATATCTTCCTGATCAGCTAATTATGAATTAGTATGCATTTAAAAAAAATAAAATAAAAAATTAATTCCAATAATATGACACTCTTTCACAGTCATAATCTTGGCAAGGCTTTAAAATGAAGGAGTTGGACAGCAATGAATAGCAGAATAACTGACAAGGGAAGGCTTTCAATGCAAGAGATAGAGTTAATTAACCAATTTAAAGCAATAGGGGTTTACATTGGCATTCTTACAGATACCCGGCATACACACACACACCTCCCTACCACCACTCCACCCACCTGAGCAGAATTTGACATCCCTATAGAAATTGGCTACTGGGGGCTCTACGCAGCTGGGGGGGTTGGGGACCAGATGGTTTCCCAGTCAACCAGTGATTCTCCAAAGACTGCAGGCCTATTCTTTTCTCAGAAAAATCCCTGCTTCTCCGGCACTCATACACTCTGCGCTGGAACACAATCACCAGCTCCTATCTACCTCTTCTGCTTGTACACGTCCGCTGCAAAGGGTCTGGAAGTATGTGAGGATCCACTGGGACTCCCTCCCCAATTACTTTGCTGACTGTTGAGGAGCTGGGGGATTTGCCTAGGCTGTGTTTTGCTATAGTTTGGTCTGTATGCAGGCCTTTGAATAAACCAATAAAATATGAAATACACGCTTGAATAACTAGCCCCCTGATATTTTGAACCAACTAATTGCTTGGGGGTATGGCTGGTGTATGCACGTATTTCCGCGTGCGACTGCATAATGAGTAATGAGGCCATGGAAGAAACTGACAATGTTATTGACTTATCTATTATTTATAGAATCTTTACTATAATCTTATAAGAGGTGAGTGTGGGTCATCATGAAATGCATCCCTATTTGTATGGGTGGTCTACCATAATTCTGTATGAGGAATATTTATGTTCAATGTTATGCTTGAATATAAAATAGAGGCTTTTCATGTTGACAAGGTCTGCATATGTGGTCCAGCTTTTCTAATGAATTCAGAGCCTTTTGTGTGAGACTGCCAGCCGATCAAGGGAATCACAGCAGGATATGAGAGCTTTATTATCGAGTCACTGCAGGCCGGGGATAAATTATCACCAGTGTCTTCTGGAGGCTGCTAACTGCTGTCCAATCACACCCAGACAGCTGGTTGTCCACTACTCTGTATGTTCAGCTGAGTTTATACACAAGATAGACATCAGAGGTCAATATGTTTCAAAACTATAATTATATTTACTTAATATGAACACTGTGTCAATGTACATTTTATGTAATGGTTTACAAATCGTAATGAGTCATATGTTATACTACAATTTTAGGCCTTTGGACATGGAAGCTGAAAAAACACTAAAGCATAGTTGCCTAGGATCCAGAATACTCACTTTTCCAATACTTACCTCTTTGTATAAAAAATAGATATCATTCTAGACTTGCCAGACAACTAGATTACTATATTACATATTTTTGACAACCCTATACTGGATTTTGGTGCATTGATTAATGGGACCCCTTTGCATATTTTTCAGAGAAACTATTTAGATGAAAACTATAGACTTTTAATCCACAATATTTGTATTTTTCATTTCAGTTGAATATAACATGTTACACTGTCCAGATTTCCACAGTCTAATATTATTTGTGTGATGGCACCTACCTTCCCTGACTACACGCTTTGTTCTTCTCTTTATGTCTAACCAGTGAATCCTCTGATATCTCTTCTGTGTTTCCCCCTTTTCATGTCAATAACAGAAGCTCACACAATGACACAAAGGGTTTTTAATTTGATTTCAGTTTTGATCTGGACTGGTCCAAAAGGCCCCATATGAAGGAAGGCAACACTATCGAAAGGGCTGAAATGAGATGATTAGACGTGCAAGCAAAACAATACTCTCATTATTTAAGTCCAAGAGAGAATCATAATGAGGAATTGACAAAAAGGCCAGCTGCAGATTGCTTTGAAAACATATCAGCCGCATTATATTTGACAATGTGCATAAATTCAGTGTTTGCTGAAAGTGTGACATTGTCTAAGTTTTCTCATTAATTTACTATTACTAACATACAACAATATTTACAGTAACTGTAATAATAATACCAATAACTCTTTATTTTTGTCTTTGAGCAACTTTAAATGAAGAAACCTAGAATTTCACCATACACAGTGAACAAGAGATAGTTAGATAGCTAATATATTAATTTGAACACTGCATTATTTGTTTTCTACGGGTCAACGGGATTATTCCTGCTTTCTATTACAACAACATTAGAATCTGTAAGTGCCAAGGGCGAGAATTCAAGAAGCAAAGCACTTTTTGGTAGTGTTATTGCTTCTTATAGCACCTCTTGCCTCGAGTTCAGCTTGGCTTTCTGCCTTTAAAACCTCCTCAGACCTGCTGTGGTAATGCAGTGTAATGGTGGGTTGCCGTGCCATCTCCAGCAGCCTCATTACTGAGTTTGCCACACATTTTTGAACAGACTGTGTGTGTGTGAGTGTGCAGATTTTTCAAATACTTCAGAGAATTAAGTGGGTGGAGTAGTTAAACTTTTGCTTCTCCCTAAACTACTTTGCCCTTGTGGTGCAATGGAGCAGGTCCAGAATAGAAGCGCCAAATGTTGAGGCTGCTGTTGAATGTAAGTCTCCAAGGTCTGCCAAAACCCTCTTTAGATAAAAATAGCACATCACACTGAAGAACGCAGATTAATCATGAAACAATCACAAATTTAGTACAATGTGTCATAACCATTACATGCCCTCCACATAAAGCACATAATTCTACTATAGTGGGCGTCAAACTTCTCAGAGGTTAGTCAGTCAACAGGACTTACCAAGATCATTTCTTTCTATCATTTGTAAAAGGCAGTTGTTTATTTTGCGTGGGAGGAATTGTGACATCTAAGGATTTAAAAGATTGTAGTTAAGAGAGGTACAGTTCCCATAACCTTCAAGTTATCATCACCTTGCAGTTAGAACTTTAAACCATTCCAAACTGCTATCTGGTAATATTGTCTCTGTCATGCAATCATTCAGGTGTTACAAAATGCATAAATAAAATATTGGCAGTAAGGAAAAACATTTTCTCTTGTACAAATTGTGAAAAAATAAATAATAGTTTCCAAATACCAGTGAACTTGACTACCTGTCTGTCCAGTGTTACTTTCCCATGTTAAATCTCAGTGGCGATCACATCCTCATAGGTCTGTAGCCCTGAGCAGTATGGGATGTCTGTGCGCAGTTCAGTCTTAGCCTCTAGCTCAGCGGTGATTTCTTTAAGGCTTCTCTCCAGCTCCCTGTTCTTTTTATGCATCTGCAAGTAGTTGATCTGCAGTTGTTTTTGATATTTAATGACCTTTTCTTTTTCTTTGTTCCACGTCTGTTTCTCTTGCTCAAAGCTGATGGACAGTTTGTCTTTGGCGTCCCTCTCACTTTGGACCTGTTGACGGAGTATGTCCACTTCCTCTTGGAGACACTGTAGGGGATCAGTCTGGATAGGAGAGGAGGGTGTCTGAGGAGTTCCTTGTTCTTTGGCAACAGAAAGATCCTGTTTTAAAGCCTCAATGTCACTCTCCAGTTTACACACTTTATCTCTGAGCATGTTTGCCTCACTTTTCCTCCTCTGGAGTTCATTTTGACACACCTGAGACAACAGTAGTAAAGACAGGGAATACAATCACTGTTAAGACAACACAATGTTACATGTCTAAAGATATAATTAACTGAATGAACAGTATAAAATGCATGTAAGGTCCTGGAATGCAGCCCAGTTAAAGTTTGAATTTAAAAATGTGTTTTGTAGAAATACTACAAAATGCAGGACATATGAATCTATTTTTTGTATTAGAAAATGTTAGAGTTATC